CCCCAAAACCCCAAAACCCCAAAACCCCAAAACCCCTAATCGACTATTTTTCATTGAAATTCCAAGATATCAAGTCATACTTTGCTGAGATATTCAGTGGCTTGTTTGAACACTCATACAATCATCTTCCAAAGAGGTTGCTCCAGTGAAAACTCCTCATATCAAATAATTAAGTGACTCCACAAAAATGTTTGCCAAAGTATGAGAGTCAGAGTAGATAAAATATTTGCCCAAAGTGCTTTAGTGTCCAGATGATATTTCACCGAAACATTTGTTTCAGTCATGCTTATCTTACACCTCAATTGGGTCGCACACCCTGATTGAGAGTCAACTTTCTTTGCACTGAGACTTTGATTCCTCGCCAAACAAATTTGAACGAGTGTTCACTAAATTTTAGATTTTAAAATTCTCACTGGACACTTCGTCACTGTATTTATTAGTGGAGCAGTTGCTGCCCAAACTTTAAGCCAAAAATAATGAAAATACCCACAAACAGAGAGCATCTATTTAATCAATTTTATGTTGAAGAAACCCTTCAATTCCTTAGAGACTCAAATGAGCTTGATAGATGTGCCTTCGATCTTGAACTTGTTTCTAAGTGGAGAGATTACCCACACTTAGAGCATACCGTCAAGTTATCGACCTTACTAACTTTAAACAAAGCAGAGCAACTTCGAAAATATTTAAAGAATAAGAGATATAGGCCAACTCTTGACTCAAGAAGACATCGATCGAGATCGATTAAGAACAAATCTTACTTTTGAGAAGGCCATAGCAGGCTCATATCTTCTTTCTGAACAGATGCATAATGGGAGTAAGCTTCATTACAAACAGGATAAGTACTAAGTTCAGAGTCAAAATATGACTATATTTGCAGGCCTTCAAAATCAAGCATCGAAACACTGTAATTTAATTAATAACACGGCTACACGTACAAAATCTGAATGCTTCTATGTGACTGAGATTGATCAAGAGTCTAAAACCAGGAATCTTGAAGCAACAACTGGGTTCGATCAAGGTTCCAATCAATCTGTTTTAAAATCCAACATTAGAAAGATTGGCATTTTATTATAAATGACTATCAACTCTATAATAATTTTTGTTTGTTTTGGGGTTTTGGGGTTTTGGGGTTTTGGGGTTTTGGGG